CTAAGAAAATGAAACCGATTGCGCATGTGAAGTAGGAACCCGGTCGTGTGCGTGAATGACAAGCGAATCCGGACGACTGTCAACCATTGAGCTCACGCCCACCTCACCGGTCACCCTCTAGCTTGCAGTGTCATTGAAAGACGATGTGTTGTAAGAGGAGAGAAAGAAAGGTAGATGTAGTGTCACTGTGCTGCACTATAAACAAATACACACACACACACACACAAGTCATTTGCACGTACACTTTGTGGGAAACTGAGGGACCTTGTCGTTCGTGACGGTCGAACTGTCCTGAACGCACATCTTATCTACCCGGTAGCCAACAATAAATCCAGAGTATTTGTTGTCTATATCCGCCCTTCCCCCCACCTGATTTCCCCTGAAATTGGCACAATAACTGGTACGCATACAATCGTGTAGCAGACATAGTCACTGGCAGACTAGAGTGTTCCGGACACGACAGTGAGACGGCCGATTTCGACAATGTCTACTGTGTGCTCCACAACAGGGCGGTGCAGAGACAATGACTTGCGCGTGAATTAGTTCCAAGTGACAGTAGGCTTGCGAAGCATCTACCACACTCTCTATTCCCTTACTCGCCTGCGCTCGATGTCAAGAAGACCGGAGGCGGAATCAGGCACAGGTGGCTGGCGCGACCGAAACCGCCCCTAGGCGTGCCGCCACAACTGGCTAAGGTTCTAGTTGCGCGGGAGTGTCATAAGAGCCAAGTAAGAAGGGAGCCACTGCAGCTTTACTCTCAGACCGCCAGTCACCCAATGCACACAACACAAAACAAAACACCCTGGACTGACCGTGGAGTCCGTCACTAAGCAATCATCCAAGCCACGGATTTTAGCTGACTGTAAAGGCTTCAGATTGCTTATGGTGAGGAAAAGAATGCGCTGCGCGTCCACCTCACTCTCTCCCCCACCATTAGCAGCAAGCCAGTGCCCAGTTGATCAGTCGCCGAAGTGGGATGGGGACTTAGTAATGCGGGTGCGTAAGGCGCATGCATTCGCATGTAAACGTCAGCATTCTAGTCCTCGTATTTACCTCATGTGTTCTTGATGACTATGCAGCTTATTAGAAAGCCGAGAGTTTCTCTCCTTGTTGATAAATCTTCCACACAACAAGACATGCACACATTGG